CAATACCAAAGAAGGATAAACTTCCTCTCAGGTTTTTCAAAGCTTGTCCAGAGTAACTGGAGTGAGTCTGCAGGTGCCTGGGGTGTGTCTCCCACCGAGGAGAGCCTGTCTATAGGAGGACACCACTCAGAGAGGGAGAGGCAGGGGCAGGGAATGAAGACATCGGCCCCAGAAGCCATTTACACTGTAGACCAGCTCCAGCACGTCCTTCCCATCACATGGGTCAAAAGGCACCCCCTTTCCTTACGCTAGTTTAGGCTGAGTTTCAGTTGCCCACATACAAAAAACTCAACAAAATAGAACCACCTTTTGGAAAGTTCCACCGTGACCCAATGGAAGTGGCCTGTCATACCCTGTCCCACCAGGTGCGAGCAGTCGAGTTTCTCCCATGAGTCATTGGGTAGGGTGACTTCCTGGGGGCTTCAGCGGGTGCTCCCCCATGATTGGTGGTACCCTGGTTCCAGAGAGAAGGCGGGGGAGGGCTCTGACCTCCATCCCACCGCTCAGTTCCGACGGAGTCTCTGAAACCAGGTCCCCGTCACCAGGCCTCCTATGGGTGTGATCTACTCTGTGTAAGTCCGCAAAGAACCGGCAGATGCCTGTTGGCCAAAACCACACACACTTCACGAGAAGAACCAGGGTTTGCAGAAGCCATGTGGTCAGAGCTGAGCGGAAAAAATGGCATTTCCTCACTTGTTTTCAAGGCTCCCTTCTCCCCACACATCCCGCTCGCCATGGCCTCTGCAAAGTGGCATTTAGCTCCTTCCCGCCAGCCCTCATATCCTAGTTCCTTCCACTTGTGCCTCTTGAGGAGCTGGGCCCAAGCAAAGGGCTGGTGCTTGACGTGTCTCTTGCTCAGCACCTCCTAGTCAGTGTCAAAAGGAAGCACCACAACTTCCACTCAAATTCTGAGAAAGGGCCCTTTACTCTCTGTTTTCTTTTTTTTTTTTTCCTTTTTTTTTCTTTTTCTTTTCCCGTAAGCCCTCATCTTTCAGTTTCTCCAGGGATGCAAGAACAGGCAGGTATTCCCTCTGTTTTCATGTGAGCGGAGGGGGAGGGAGTTCTCTGTCCGATTCATGGTTTGCGATGCCTGGCCCCGCTGCTGGGCATTCAGTTATGTTTAATTCTCAGCTCTTGCCTTAAAACGACACTGTGATGAACACAGCCGAGGGGCGATCTTGCTCCATGTTCAGCTAATTCACAGCAATTACCAAGGCGACAGGTCCATATTGTCTTGGGATCCTAAAAAGAAAAACAAAATATCCCCAAACAAACAAACGAGCTGCAAACAAGTGTCCCCACTGAGAAAAAGTGGCAGAAAAAGAAAGCAGGAGTAGGGAAATCACCCCAGAAAAAAAAATCCTAGACGGGGGAAGTAGAGGAAAGGTCACCTCCCCCACGGTTGCCCGCAGTTAGACTTCCTATGAGCAAAATAACTCCCGCAGATCAATATTTTGCGGTTTGGAGTGTGGAGTTCTTGGAGCTCTCTGAGAATGAATTCTGCAGAGTCTCCCAGGCAGCAGCACACAGAGAGCTTGTTAAGGAGAAGATGTCTGCACAGACACAACAAACAGGCGAAGAGCTGCGTGGCACAGCTTGATGAAGGCGGGTTGATTAAGCAAGAGAGACGCCTGCGTAGACACAGGCCGGGCAGCCGTCTTCAAGGGCCGGAGCTGCCTTTCACCAGAGCCGTGTCCTCATGTCCTGCTCTTTGATGGGATTTATTCCTTTGTGGGTTTTTTTTTTTTTTTAATTTTGCAGATTTATGGATTTGGGATCAGGTTGGGTCAGTTTTTGTGATGACTGATCATCCTTTCTGCCACTTCTGGTTTCTGACCTTGTGAAATTTTCACCCTAAACTTTTGTACTCAAAGCTTCCATCAGACGTGACAGGTTTTCTTTCTTTTGGATGGAGAATGTTTCCATTTCCTTTCACAAAGAGTTCTAACTGAAAACCAGAAGCCAGAGAATTTTATCTCCACTCTGTTTTCCAAACTACAAGTTTCACGCAGGGGTCATCCTCAGTCTCATTTCTGGAGCAGTGAAGTGGTCTCTTCCTGCTTGTCTTCTGCAGCCACCGCCAGCCTGCGAGGTGCTTCCCGTCGGTGAGGCAGCACCGGCCTCCGGCCACCTCCCTGCCTCGAACTTTGCCCCAGTTCAATCCCCAGACCCTTACACTCAGATGCATGTTCTTTCATGCTGCTTCAGTATTTCCCGTCACTGAGCACCAATGTATCCTAGAGCGACTAGAATAGCTTTTCACAGGAGTTTCCAGCTGCCTGGGGCAGATGTGGAGACAGTTCAAGTCTGGCATCTAAGAGTGGATTTCCCCCCACAGGCAAGCCTGAGACAAGGGTTGGAAGTCAACAGTTTATGGGGAAGGAAACTGCACTGTGCCCTGGAAACTCCTGGTCAGGTGAAGAGGCAATGCCGTGTGCATGGGCAGGAGGCTTATCCCTGGACTCAAGGCCCTGGAGGCCTCCAAGAGGACCACTCAGCTGGCCCCTGGAGCCCAGGCGCCTGGGCAGTTTATATCAGCTCCTGTCCCTTCATGCTGAACACTTGGTCCTGGGACTTCTGGCCTCCCCCACAGCCCCCCTAGTGTGGAGACTGTGGGTAGCACAGGAACTCATTGAAGGGGGTGGGGTGGATGGCTGACTTGGTTCCCTGCAGTCATTTTCTCCCTTCTCCCCACCCCCGCTACACACACACACACACACACACACACACTCATGCACGCACACACACGTGCACGCGCTCACACACGATGTTTTGAACAAAAACAAGACTTCCTAAGCTTACTGAATGATTTGCCCGGCCCTCCTGGACATCCGTCCACAGCAGTAGATGTCCAATTGTCAAAGCCTGACCGTCTTCCATTGGGAGGCTACAAACTCATCAGACGTTGGTTCTTTCTCATTCCGGTGGACAGAAGGAGGTGAGGAACAACATAAATCTTCCTAAAATGTGGCTATGTACATGTCTCCTCACCTGCTCAAACCCACCGAGAGCTCTCCGTCACCCAGCTGGCGAGGCCGGAATTTCGTAACTTGGCATTTGAGTCTGCCCTCTCTCTGCCCGGCTGCTGGAGCCGTGCTGTCTGCCCTGCGCCTCCACCACAGCCAGACCCCTGGACCCCCCGGTGACGCCCGGTCCTGACCGTGCCTGCATCTGTGCCTTTGCTGGGGCTGCGTCTCCAGGCTGGCTGCCCTCATGGGCACCAGCTCATCCTTCAGTGATGGGGTCCTCCCTCTCGGGGGCCCTTCCTGAATGTCTCATCCATAGGTGACGCTGCAGTCGGTACTTTTGCTCTTTATTCTGGGCATGTTTTCACTTCCCAACAATGGGATACACTCTCACGCCTCGGTGTTCAGAAGGGCACGCCTTGCACACTGTGACACCTGCCTGCACACTCAAGCCATTCAGGGTCTGTTGATAGGAAGCAAGGGGACTGTTCCGTCTTTTTTTCTTTTAAAAGTTCCTTTATTGAGTACCTGAGTATGTTCTAGAGAGGCCCCTCTAAAATGATTTTCACTTTTTAAGTTCTTTCCCCCAACACCATCCCTTACATGCCCATATCCCTTCCTCCCCTCCCTTTTTTATTTCACTTTGCCGAGTTGTCCACCGTGTAAATGTCCACTATTTGTCTTTGTCATTCGGACTTGCTTTCCTGCACACCATTCCCTGGAACCCCCTCCTTTTTGCTGTAAAGGGCTGCATTCCATCTCTCCTTATGGCTGAACTGTATCCCACAGCGTGGCCAGGCCACGTCGTCTCGATCCAAGTGTCAATCCACAGACATTTAAGCTGCTTTCTTGTCCCAGCTATGGTGCTGCCAGGCTGCGTCTTTATAGCTGGCATGAGGATGGCGCTGGGACCATGTACCTCGAGTCCCCTCCCACTCACTGAGGTGCTGAGCACAGAGCCCCGACCTTGGCCTGATGACTGTTGAAGCCGTAAGACCCTGGGGGACGGCTACTGAGCTGCCCACAGCGCCCCTCCCCTGGAGACAGCACCCGAGGGGCACAGGAGGTGTGAGGACAGCCTTTCCGGCTCCAGGCACCAGGACTGCAGGGACGGGGAGCGGAACAGAAGTGGGGTGGGGGAAGGGCGGCTCAGGGGTGCTAATCCCAGCTTCCTGTCCGGATTTTCTCAGACTGCTGCAGAGGCCTATCTTAGGATGGTCACAGCTGCTGAAATAGATCTCTCCCCTCACCTGTTCTTAAGTGAGGAAGACCTTGTTAACTTCCTGCCAAAAGAATGCATACTTTTCCAGCATGAGGGACCGTCTGGGACACTGGTGCTGGACTGCCTGCCCTTTTCCACCCCTGCAGGAACCAGGGAGCAAACAGCCAGGGGCGGGACGCAGTCAAGGGGCTGCCACCTGCTTCTGGCCAGGGCCCTGGCTTTTCTGTGAATTCGGTGGGAACTTCCTTCTAGCTCTGCTCAGAAACCACTCCTCACCCGCCCACAAGACGCCTCTCAGATTTCGGGTGACAGGTTGCAGATCCCCTGCCCTCAGCCTTCACCTCTGCCTCTTTGCTTTCCAGTCTGCTCTCACGGAATTCTCTGTTCTGCTTATCTCTCTCTTTTTTTTTTTTTTTTTTTGTGGGACCCTCAACGGCGGCCGGGGAATGAACTGGCGCTGCAGAGGCTGCGGGCAGCCTCGCAGCCCAGTGCTCAACTGCTGTGCCACCAGGGGAGGCCCTGTTCTGTTTATCTCTTTAAGCAGATCTATAACGGCTTAACAAATGAGTCAGTTGGGCTCCAGGACCACAAAACCAAGTGTCTGAATTGGGGCCTGCCTCCTCACTCACTTAGTCATTCAACAAACATAAGCCTGGTAACTGGGGCATGCTTGGGTATGAGGCTCAGCTAGATAGAGGCTCTGCTCAGGGAGGGGGGTTGGAGGTGGAATTCCGGGAGAGATGGGCCTCCTGTGGAGACGGGTGCGTTCCTCCTCCTCAGGGGCCCCAGAGGTGGAGAGAGGAAAGCTGAAGGCCAAAGGGTGGAGCCAAGCCCCAAGCTTCAGGAGGCCTGGCAGATCTGATCTGCGCTTGCGCTTGTGTGGGAGTAGACTCTGACATCGCCCCGTCACCAAGGTAACACTGACTCGCGGGAGCCTGCCATGATCTCAGGAACTGGAGGAAGCTGGGGTCGTCCCCCAACACAGACTGCAGCCCCACCGGTGAGGGCTGAGCTGGGGAGCAGAGACTGCTTCTGTCAGGGAGTCCTAGAGGTGGGGTGACTGAGTTGGGGAGCAGTCCAGAAAGGAGCTGAACCGTGGAGGGGTTTACTGTGCCCAGCCTAAATGCACAGACTGGACTGGGAGGGGGAGGCTGGGGACCAGGAGGGAATACGCTGTTCCCACGGGTTAGGGAGACAGCTAGGGCTGGGGGGGGGGGGTTGAGGGGGTTGGTCCCCCACCCAGCCCCTTCTTAGTCTAGCCTGAATCAGTCTGTCTCCCCATCCTCTAGCCTTGGGTGACTATCCTGCAGCCCCTCTCCTGGGCCGTCCCCCCACCACCCCAGCAGCCAGGCCGCATGAAGGAAGGTGAAACTCAGGACTCACCCCGTTTTTCTCCTCTCTGCCTTGCACATTCTCTGGGCGTCCACACTGCACCCCACCTTCTGTTCCCGGGGGGCTGGGTGTAAGGGAAGCCTCTGGGATGGGACCTGGGGGGCGGTGTCTGGCAAGGCCTGCTGAACCCCCTCCTAGACCTGCTGGAGCTGATGATGCTGCAGAACGCGCAGATGCACCAACTGTTGCTGGGCGGCCTGGTGGCCTCATCATTCAGCCCAGGGCTGGCGCCCCCCTGGCCTCAGGTATGTGGGCTGGGGCTAGAGTAGGGACCCCTTCCTGGAGAAAAAGGACCAAGCGCAGAGGAGCAAAAAGCCAGCCACACCTTGGCTGGGTGTGACACCGACTATATGCCAGCTCTCCTCAGTTTCCATTGGGGGAGGGTCCCCAAATCCAGACCACCCAGACCTTCTTTCCAAGGAGGATTCCCATGGGACTGCAGGCCCCTGGACTGGCAGGTCCATCGCACCATGGCACCTGCAGGTCCTAACGCTTATTAAGGTGAACATGGGGATGAGTAAAGGAGTAAGAATACAAGGCAACTGGGCCTGTGACTGGCACATGGAGAGGTAAAAGGTAAAAGTGTGGGTGCACAGTGATTGGGGAAAGAGGAGAGGCTCCTCGGAGGAGACTTACAAACATCCTTGAAGTCCAGGGAGGATTTGGAGGTCGGAGGAAGCTGGCAATGTATCCACTGCGCAGCCCTTGAGATGAGCGCCCCAGCCCACTGGCTCCAGGCCTGGGTTGCCGTCAGGGGCGGTTCACCAGACTCCCCATCAGCAACTGGGGAGTCACCCCAGGATTCCTCCAGTCCTGGCTCTGCCACGTATTAGCTGGGTGACCTTAGACAAGTTGCTCAACCTCTCTGAGCCTCCGTTTTCCCCACCTGCAAAATAAGGACTAAATGTCTCCGGAGTGCCTCGCTGCATGCAGTCACTGCGCCACTCATGGCAGCCGGTTGGGATGGCATCTGGGGATAAAGTTTAGGAGGCTGGAGGATGGGGTTTGGGGAGCCAAACATTATCATCTCCCCTCCCCTCTGCGCTGTCCCAGGTCTACCTGGAGGGCCAGGAGGAGAATGAGGCGGAGGAGCTGCTGGAGGCCCAGGAGGAAGGGCCCCTGGTGTTCCACCACCACTACGTGCCCTGCCCGCTGCCCACTCTGGGCGCCCTACCACCCTGGCCGGCCTCTTTCCTGCCCCCTCCCCCACACCAGCCCCACGTGCAGGACATGACCAGGACTCAGCCCTGCCCTCCTGCCTTTGGGAAAAGGGGCGCGTAAGTGTGGCTGGGGGTCTGTCTTGACCTGGGCTGGGCTGGAGAAGCTGGTCAGGGGCTGGAGATACCCGAGGGTGAACCCCTGGAGGCCACCTCAGATGGGGGCTTTCTTTTCTCTTCCTCATCTCAGGAGAGCTGTGCCCCCACCCCCACCACCCAGTGCCACAGGGACTGTGGGTGCAGATGTACCTCCAGCTTCAGGTGGGCTTGGGTGCCTGGCAGTGGGGCCCAGCCGTGGGGTACTCAGGAGTCCAGGGAGTCATGTTTCTGGGCCTGGGGGGGCTCCTACTGCCACCACCATAGGCAGCTGGGCTATCCCCTCCCCTTTCCCTCTTTGGGGTCCCCGAGGCAGGAGGGAGTCCCATGAGGTACACTCTCCCCACAGACTACTATGATGCCGAGAGCTTACCCTGAGGACCGGGCTGGCTTCACTGCAGGCTGGAGACAGCCCCACGTGCCCTCTAGTCCCTGCTGACTCTACACCCGTGCCTGGCAGCCCTTCCGCCCCGCCAGCCCCCGCCAGCCCCACCCACTCCCCAGCCCCAGTGAATGAGCCCCTCGCACTGGCCTGCTCTGCTCTGGAGCAGGAGCCCGCAGAGCACCGCCCAGGCCCGAGGCCCGTGAGCGCCCGCTCTGCCCACTGTTTCCTGCCTGGGCAGGGGGAGGCCTGGGCACCAGGGCCACCCTCCCCGCCCCTCTCTCCCCTGTCTCTGGCATGGCCAGGGCTGTGGGGTCTCCGTTGGGCCTCCGTTTGCTCTGAAGGCCCAGAGTGATGGAGAGGCCTGGCTGGGAGGGTCCTGGAGCTGAGCCGGGTCCCTCAGGCCCCTCAACCCAGGAAGCTGACTCCATTGGCAGAAAGGAGAAGTCAGGGCTGTGTCCTGCTCAGACCAGGTGGGGCTGAAGTCCCGGAAGGGTGATGTGGGAACAGGGTCTCTCTGCCCTGCCAAGCCGGGGCGTGTCCCCCTCCTTCCTCCAGGAGGGATTAGGCACTCAGGGCCCCACAAAGGCGGGGTCTGGTTCCCCAGCTGCTCAGCATCGGGGTACCCCAGGGCCTGGGCCCTGGGAGGGGGGGAGGGAGAGAAGTCCAGGCCCAGCAGGTCCCCTTCCTGGCCCGTGAGTGTTGCCTCAGGAGGACAGTGCGGCTCGGGGCTAAGTCCAGGGGTTTGTATTTGAGCTAGAAAGTGAGTCCCCAGAGTCCTCTGCTGCTTGTCGCCATCCTTCAGCCGGAGCTGGACCACAGCCCAGGAGCCACGGTCCAGTTCCGTGGGCGCTGCGCTCACACAGGACGTGCCTGGTGGGACCCCCGCAGGTTCCTCCAGGCATCTTGCACCCAGTAGTTGCCTGTCCGGCTCTGGCGCCACTGCTGGCCACAGACAAAGCACAGCACGACGGCTGTCACAAACAAGATGAGCAGCAAGGACACCACGATGATGACGACCAGCAGGTTGTCCTGTGGGGGCTCTGGGGAGAGAGGGGCAGTGGTCTCAGAAGCCCTGTGCTTCCCGGTCCAGGGTACCCACACCCCTGTCCACTCTGCAGTCGCCCTGCGGCGCAGGCAAGGGCGGGCGGCATCTGCCCCAAAGACCGAGAGGAAGGGGCCTCCTGTCCAGGCCGGCAGCCCGGCCTCTGCGTCGTGAGGCAGGTGTCCCCCTGCACCTGGCCTGGGGCGGGCGTCGCTCACACCTGCCCCGGAAGGCGCATGGCCCAGGCCCAGCCTCCGCCCTGGCGCGAGGACCACGCGTCCGCTCGAGGCAGCTTCGGGGCAGTCAGGCCAAACCCCCCCTTGCGGAGAAAGGCCGAGGCCAGAGAGGAGGCTGACTCCTGCCGGTCACCGCTCATGGCCAAGCAACTAGTTGGTGTCCAAGCCGGGAACTGGGAAAGAGCTGCCCGGAAGAGGGGACCCCCGAGTTGGCAGAGTGGGGCTCAGGGGCTGAATCCCAGTGCCCTCTCCTTCCCTCCTCGACGCAAGGGCGCCCCTCACCATAGACCTCAAGCTCCTGGGACGCCCAGCCGCTGTGCGGGAGGCCCCAGCCTGGGGACAGCACGTCCAGCTCCGCCCGGCAGGAGAAGGTGTGGGAGCCTGCTTGCTCGGGAGCCGTGGAGTTGTGTGTGACCACGGCCTCCTGGGGGTCTGTTGATTCTTCCTCAAAGGTCTGGTTGTGCAGGGGCTTCTCACCATGGAACAGGGTGAGGGTGAGGCTCTTGAGGGGTGCCACCGCCTGCACCCTGCACTCAGCGGTGAAGGAGCTGCCCACGGCCACCCGGGTGGGCTGCAACGTCAGCAGCACTAGCTTGAGGGGGTCTGCAGGAAAGAGCGTGCTCTGGTCAGAAAGGTGCAGGCCCAGCAGGCCCACAGATTTCTGTTAATGGAACCTTTGATGGGTTAAAAAAAATTTCAAACAGGGCCTCCCCTGTGGCGCAGCAGTTGAGTGCTGGGCTGTGAAGCTGCCCGCAGCCTCCACAGTGCCAGTTCGATCCCCGGCTACCGGCGAGGGTCCCACATGGTGTGCAGACCTCTCCTGCCGCCCACTGCTCCCCTCAGCAGTGTACTTCTTTGTCAGCCTGTCTGTTCTGTTCCCCGCTCTGGCTCTGGTGAATTCTCTCACCCTCCGGCGCTTCTGACTGTACCCAGTGCTTGTATAAATAAATGAATAAATCTTAAAAAAAAGAGAAATTTTAAAAAACAAACAAACAAACAAAAAAATTTCCTACAAAGGACTGAATAGACCTGGAAATACATTTGATTTTTACTAAGTTTTCTTTGACTTAATACCGGTAAATTTTTTTTTTTTTTGTATTTTGTTCTGAATCCACAAAATTTCCTTGTTTTGACTGACCAGGACCTGCAGCAATGTTAAATTGCTAACTTGTGTTTGCATTTTCTTTCCCCTTGATACCAACACAGCATGAAAATAGTGGTAGTAATTTTTACTACTCATGTCAGTGTCTATTTTTGCATAACTTCCATAGGGATTTTGTCTGCTTAAAACATAAACAATTGCAGATGAGTTTTATTGTGTGGATTTCAATGTTCTCCCAGGAAGCTGAAATAGAGCTGAACCAAGAAGAGGAGAACCTGCTGCTTTGTTTGTAGGGTTCCAGAGACTTCCAAAGAAGGTGAGGAAGCTGCCTCCATGGGCAGGACTGGACAACCCAGACAAAGAAAAAGCCCTGGTACCCTCGAGAAGAGGAAGCCCAGGTGGAGTCTGGTGAGACCAACTTTGTTCATGAAGCCTGCGTGGCCCGGATGTCAAGAGTTTGCTCTGATCCTGTATGGAGTGTTCCAACAGAGCCAGCTACAATTGCTGTTTAGTTATTCTGCCCTATGATTTTATACAAAAATAGGTAATATGGTTTCAAAGTAGATTGAGTTTCCAAACTTTTGCTATGCTGTTGAAATAATTAGGGATCAAGGTTGAAAGAACTTGTTTTTGTTTTTTTTTTACATAAGTTCAACTAATTTTAAGATTTTTTTTCTGTTATTTTGATATATTGGCTGTCTTGTTTTGGCTAATGCCTCCAGATTTTTTTTTTTTTTTTGCTTTTGGCTTGGATAAAGGACTATTTTCCAAAATGTAAAGCTGTCATACTGGACATTCATGGACAAGGCTGCTGCTAATTGTTGCTTCTCTTACATACACTGTAACCCTGAAAAAAGACTGTCTCCTAAGACTACACGCTGAGATCTGTGCCACATAGATACGGTGGAATAAAAATTAAAAGGGGGGATTGGAACAGGGAGGTCCCAGGAAAGGGGGAGGTTCCAGATTTCCTGCCCCACCCAAAAGGAGGGTGGAGCTGAGCAGGGAGAGAAGAAGCTGCAGAGGAGCCTGGGGAAGGAAGGGAGCAGGATGGAGCCAGAGGAGACCTGGAGGAGGCACATGGAGCACATGGAGCCGAGAGACTCATGAAGAAACTGCTCTTGCCATTTGGTCGTGGACGGGGTGACACAGACGTGGGTGAGAGACGTGTGGGAGGTGACAATGGCCGTTTTTGTCTTGATTATGATTATTTTCTTTTCCTTCCAGACTTGTCTGGTGGTTTCTGATTCTTCTCTGTGGGTCCCCACTGGAAGGTGCTTTAGACTGAGGCAGGCTTTGGGGCCTTGCTCTGGGCCAATCCTGCTTGGGTGGACTTTTACCCATGAGGGGACGGGTCACTTTGGGTGCTTGATTTAGAAACTAGATTCTTTGCCTTTCCAGTATTGTTTCCTAACTGTATTAAAGTTCCTTCCCATTAAAGTCTCCTATGTTTTGTGTTGATGCCGCGGATGGCAGAACCCATTTAGAGTAGGCAGCAGTTGTGCGGGGTCTGGGCTGCCCCTCTCCCTGCCCTGGAACACCCTCGCCTTCCCTCCCCCACGCGAGGGCGCCACTCACCATAGACCTCAAGCACCTGAGACGCCCAGACACTGCGCGGGAGGCCCCCACCCAGGGACTGCAGGTCCAGCTCCGCCCGGCAGGAGAAGTTGTGGGAGCCTCCTTGCTTGGGAGCCGTGGAGTTATGTGTGACCACGGCCTCCTGGGGGTCTGTTGTTTCTTCCCCGAAGGTCTGGCTGTGCAGGAGATTCTCACCACGGAACAGGGTGAGGGTGAGGCTCTTGAGGGGTGCCACCTCTGGCACCCTGCACTCAATGGTGAAGGATCTGCCCACGGCCACTCGGGTGGGCGGCAACGTCAGCAGCACTTGCTTGGGGGGGTCTGCAGGAAAGAGGAGCATGCTCTGGTCAGAAAGGTGCAGTCCCAGCAGGCCCACCTGGCCAGGACCACCCTGGTGTCCCCCACCTGGGCTCCCAGGTCCCGGCTGGACTTGTGGGGGAGGAGGTGGGCTGGGGCCTGGCCTGCTGTAGAGCAGGGAGAGAGGAAGAGGGAAGCAGCTTGGGGTGAAGGACGTACTGGGTGGAAATTTTATGAATGGATGGATTCTGGGCTGGGCAAGATTGAAGGTGGTCAGTTGTCCACAAAGAAGGCCTAGAAACTGTATGGCCAACCGGGAATATGAAAGTTTGGGTCTGTCGCCTTGCTCTCCAGAAATTAAATCAAATTTCATAAATTAACCAGTTGGGAGCCTCCGGGTAGTCTAGGGGTTAAGTCTCAGCGTTATCATTGCTACGACCTGAGTTTGATCCCCAGTCAGGGAGTTACCCACATGGCGCAACAGACCTCTCCTGTCTCACCCGCTGCTCCCCTCAGCAGTGTATTTCAGTGGATCTGCCTGTTCTGCTCTCCATTCTGCCTCTGGTGAATCCTCTTACCCCCGAACCTCTGGCCTACACCCCAGTTCTTCTATGCAAAAATAAAAAAAAAAATAAACAGTTGGGTGATTATGATGAATAGTAGGAGCTGAGACATGAGCTAACCATGGGTCCCTCGACGGCACCCCAAGCTCCCCTTTGAACTAGGATACCTGGCTCCATCACCCCAGGATTATGTGTTGGATTTAGAACACTTTCCACACTTTCTAGCCATTTGATCTGACATTGGAAATGGGGGCGGAGGGCCCAAGTGATGCCCTCGGTGCCGAGATATCGGGGAATGTGGCCTTTCGGGGTGGTCTCTGTGCTCATGGGCAGGTGTGTGTGTGACAGTCACACATTTCCAGGGGCCTCAGGAAAATAGAGGCACTGGTGATGCCTCAACCTCCCCACGAGGAGAAGGGGACGCGGAGAGCGTGGCTGCCCTCACGGGGGACGTGGGGTGCTTCGGGGATGGGGCAGGGGACTGTGAGCGCTTCCTGGGGACCTGCCTTCAGGTCCCTGTAAACCTGGCTGGGATCGGGGTCCTCTGGCAAGACGCAAGCAGCTGCCAGCAGCTCAGCAGCGGCCAGTGAGGGGAAGGAGAGATTCTGGGGCCGCTTCTGATCACCCAGGAGCCCGGGGGCAGGGGCCGTGAGGAGATGCCCTGCAGCTGGGGCTCGGGCCACTCACAGAACACACGGACACCGGCTGACTTCGAAAGCTGCTTCCCGTCGCAGGTGAAGTAGCAGAGGACGTCCGTGTCCTCAGAGGCGTTGGACACCGAGTACCGCACCCACTGAGGCTGCTGGTCCAGCAACTCCTTGGCTAGGGTGGTCTCCAGGCCTCCGCCCTCAGGCTGGACACAGCTGGTGCTGCAGTTGATCACCACGGACCCTCCGGCCTCCAAGGCCAGCCGCTCTGGCCACATACGGACCTCAAACGCCTCCTCAGCAGACCCTGGAGGACCAGAAACCCGGGCAGTGACGTCCCTGGCTGTCGGGTCAGGGGGCAGGGGCCCAAGAAGAAAGGCCGAAGCTCCTCGCCTCCTCTCCCTTGGCTTAGCCTTGTCGCCTCCATCTAGACCCTGTGGCTTGCAACGCCCCCGCCCCCAGGCTGCCTCCGTGCCCTGGACTGTTCTTGCTCCAGCCCATCTGCCCCATCACCTCCAGCTTAGTTTTCCTCACAGGTGCCCCCAGGAGAGGCTCCTGCTCCACCCTCCAGGCCCAGCACATAGGTTCCCAGCTCCGAGGTGGGAGTGGACCGTGTTCTCTGGCCCCCAGCCTGGGGTTCAACCCTCCCTCCCTCAGACACTGCTCTAGCCTCTGGGCACAGCCTCCACCAAAGCAGCCCAGGCTCTGCCCTGCAGCGCTCACCCCCTTGAAGGAGACAAACAATCAAGTGAAAATAGCAGATCTGTGAGAGGGGGGTGCCCTGGAAGGAAATGGGGAGGGGGTGGGGCTCTTGTCTTGAATAGTGCTCAGGAGGCCTCACAGAGATGCCGCATTTGAGCTAAGAGATGGGGCAGCCCTGTCGACATCTGGGGGGCTGTTACCAGGGAGAGGGTCCTGCTAGTGCAAAGACTCCAGGGAGCTTGTGTGCTTGGCGTGTCTAGGAACAGCAAGAAGATGAACCACCAGCAAGAGCAGAGCTGTCAGCCATGGGTGGGGACTGGGGATGGGCCTACATGTTTCCACAGCCTCAGGGAGGAGGAAGGTGGGGGGGGTAGAGGGAGTGCAGGGTCATGGGGTCAGCTGCAGAAGATGATGAGGTGAGCTGCTGACTCATTCCTGTTTCCTCCCCCTTGGCTGTTTCGGAGTCTCTAGAAGGCAGCCCAAAGGTTGTGTGTGTTTCCCTAAGTGCAGCTGACTTCCGAGAAGTATTTGATGTGGAGAAACCTCAGTGCTCACCTCCCACTCGGCCATCACCAGAAGATCCTGGATCTCAGCGGGGCCTGTCCTGTGTCATGTGTCCCGCCCACCCCACGAGAGCCCCCACTTGGCCCTCGGTCGGTGGCATCTAGGGATGGGCGAGCAGGACACTGTGCAGAGAGAGGGCATTTGAATCCAGAGTTCGCCTCGCCCAGCTGCGTGTGACCTTGGGACTCGCTTCCTCACTGACCTCAGCTGCCTCAGCTCCCAGTGGACTGGCCACCCCTCTAGCGGGGCTGTGGGGCAGGCGCGCAAGACGGTGCTTGGGAAGTGCCCGCAGCTTGTCCCAAACAGCACCTGGCACAGGGCAGCATTTCCTCTGCAGGCCCTTGACCCCTGGAAGGGGCTCACTTCCTCATTGACCCTCCCCAGAGGGGATGTCTCTGCCCCCCTGCTGTGCCCTGGGCCACTTATGGAGACCAGCTGGGACTTGCCTCACGGTCCTGTCACCCCCTGGGTCCCCCCCCTCCCCGCCCACCACTCAGCCTCCACAACCAGCCACATCCACCCCCCATGGAGATGTGGGGTCTGCTTGACCTGGGGGCCAAAAGACAAGGACCCCCACCCATTGCCCCAGGGTCACGGGAAGCCACTGTGGTCAAAGGCCCAGGGACTTGGGGGTCAGATCCCTGCTCCACCAGATGCCAGTGCAGCGGGCAGCCCACCCTCCAGCGGGCATGAGTGGGTCAGGAACCCCGGCGCCAGCTCACCTGGGCCCCAGACCAGGGCGAGAAGCGTCACGGGCAGGCTCCAGCAGCTCCAAGGGCACATCTCGAGGGGCAGCCACAGCTGGCAAGGAGCGCTGAGGGCAGCCTAAGGAGAGATGGAGGTAGCAAGTCAGGGAGTGGCCTGGGCCACCGCCTGGAGCCCCCAGCCTTCTGTGAGCTGATGACCTCATGCATTTCCTCTCATTATCTGAGTGGTCTTTGGAAGCCACGTGGAAGGCAGGATCCCAGGGCTCCGGGCTTGCAAGAATCCAGGCAGAGGAAGCCGGGAAGTAGCTGATAAGCCCAGGCACAGCCTGGTCCTACAGCCTGGTCGCAGGGGGCATGCGCAGCATGCGCACGTGGGAGCAAGCCCACACATGTGGGAGGGACATGTGTGTATGTGTTTGTGTGTGTGTGTGTGTGTGTGTACGGAGGAGGGTGGTGCTGACAAGCCCCAGACCCCGCAGGCCACATCTTTGGGGTCCTTTCTTGAAAGGGGCCATCAGAAGTCAGGGACATTCAGTCTCCACAGTGAATCAGATCTGTTCTCAGGAAGCCTGGCCAGGGCTTGGAAGTACTCCAGCACGGGTCTGCTTGTGCCACCACTTCACCTCGGCCGGCCCTGACTCAGCTGATCCAGGGGCTCCTGGAGGCCCAGGGCCTCGGGAAATGCACCCCACAGCAAGCCCCAGCAGCCCAGACTCTAGGGATGATGAGCGCCAGCCTCCATATCCCAGACCCCCTCATGGTGTCTCCTCTGAGATCTCCAGGGTGAACTGGGCATGGGGGTTGGGAGTGGGGATGGATGCATTTCTAGAAATGCTCTGTTCCCGTCTTCTGCCATAGACTCTCCAGAAGCAAGGAGCAAGTAAGGGGGGGGGGTCTGGTGATTGGGAGCCCCTCCCCAGGCCCCGCTATGCCTAGGATTCCCTGGGAGCAGCAGGGTTTGGGCGAGGTCAGGGAGGAGCAGGGCACCCAGACAGGGCCTCTCCAAAGGGATACCCAGTGTCGTCAGGACTCGGGGGTGGGAGGCTGGGGCGCGGCCTGCCCTTCCCTGGCTGCTGCCAGCGCTGCCATCGACAGTCTGGGTCTGGAATCACCAGACAGCACATCTGGAATTTGGAGTGGTTCAGGGAGGAAGGGCAGGGCTGGATCCGCAGAGAAGAGATGGGAAAAGTTGGAGAGCAGTCGTCCCAGCCAGCAGGGATCTGACTCCACAACGGGCTGGAAGCGCTGAGAACAGGGAACATTCTGAAAATGGCATAAAAATAAACCACCCTCAGCCAGCCGTGAAAAGCTACACAAGGAGAAAAGCACAGAAAAAGTGGGACAAATGCAATTCTTTAAAAAAGGTGACATTAACACACTCAGATTTACTAACGGTCACAATAAAGATGAAGAGACTGAGCTGCAGTGAAAAGAGAGAGAGGGTCAGATTAGATTTTGAAGCATCTTTGGCCTGAATGGATCCATTACTGTCCTGGGTCTGGATTTCACGCAAGGACGATTCTTCATCAACCAGTCACAGCAGAACTGGCAGGAGAAGGGGAGGGTGCTTGGCCCTGTTATCCCTACAAATGCTCAAAAGGTTCATGGGATCCAGGTCAGTTCCCTCGGAGACCCCAAGATTTGATGGGACCAGCAAGTGGGCTAGACTCGAATTGTGATTCTCTTTGGTGCCCTGGCTAACCTCTGTCCGGCACACGTGGCTCAATTCCAAATCAGGTTAGCTTCTGGAACAGCCGAGGAGATGAAAGAATCCTCTGTGTATTGGCAGAGGCTGCTGAAAGTGTTGGAACGAGAAAAATGGGTTTATGCGGATTACAGTACTCATGGCAGAAACAGAAAGGGAGGGTTTTTTTATTTTTTATTATTTTTTAAAAAAACACTTGTCCTTTTTTTTTTGCATAGAAGATCTGGGGTGTAAGCCAGAGGTGCGGGGGCTGAGAAGATTCACCAGAGACAGAGTGGGGAGCACCTAAAACTTGTTATAACTGTTCTAAAAAAGTCTATTTTAAAAAATAACACACACTACCTCAGATGAGAACTTTCTGGGCTAGGGTCTTGCCAGCTACCAGATTGTGGTAAAAAATTGCAAGCTTTTCTGGCCTTCCTGGTAGCATAAAGGCTAAGTCTCAGCACTACACCCCTGTGGCCTGAGTTCGATATCCGGCCATGGAGCAACCCACATGGCGCGGCAGACCTCTCCTGTCTCACCTGCTGCTCCCCTCAGCAGTGTATCTCAGTGGATCCACTTGTTCTGCTCCCCACTCTGTCTCTGGTGAATCCTTCTCTCACCCCCTGCATCTCTGTCCTACACCCCGGATCTTCTACACAAAAATAAATAAATAAAATCTTAGAAAAAGTACAAGCTTTTCAATTCAACTCAATCAGCAGGATTTAGTGAGAATCAGACTCAGTCATTGCTAAAATTTCACCTTACATTAGAATTTTTAAAAATCTGATGGACTGTGGAGGCCAATCTCACTCTTGAAAACAGAGGTAACGGTATGGCAGACCTCTCCTGTGGCGCCTGCTGCGCCCCTTAGCAGGGCATTTCGGTTGTCTACCTGTTCTGCTCCCTGCTCTGTCTCTGGTGAACCCTCTCACCCTCCTGTGCCTCTGGCCTGTACCCCAGCTCTTGTATAGAAATAAATAAATCTTTTTTTAAAAAAAAGAAAGAAAAGAGATGTAACTAATTAGAAGGAAAATACTAGCAGCCCAAATCTGTCAGTGCGAAAATAGAAGCCATCACACCAATTTGGGCTTGTCTCAGGTGGGCAAAGGTGGGCTAACGACAGAAGAAAAACAATAGGTGACATCTAGATGTTGCTTCTCTGGGTCACACACCTTCTGCCCTTCTCTGCTGTCTGCTGTGCTTACAGAGGACCGTTCTGCACCCTTTGATTCCTCGCACGCTCTCGCCTTCCCTCTCGAGTTTACACCACTCTTCTTTGGCTTCTTGTCTCAGTTCTTCAATGCTTTGGGGAACACTTACTTGCCTGTCAGTGTTCCCCGGGACTGTGGGGGAGTTAAGCTCCCCACAATGCACATGGAGGGGAGAGGAGCTGGTGGATGGGTGACCTCACCTCCTCCCTCCCTCCTTTTCCACAGGCGGTTGTGGGAGGAATCCTGTCGGCTGAGCAGAGACCCCCAGGGCCCAGAGTCAGCTGCCTTTGCCTACAGCCACACCTTCAGAGGGCTGTTCCGAGTCCCTGTTCTGGTCCCTGTGCCTTCACCTCATGCTGCCTGGAATCCCTTCTCCAATAACCCACCTGGACCCAAGTCCTTATTCCAGGCTGTTTTCGCAGGAGCCGAAACTGAAAACTTACACGAACAGATTTAAGAAGAAAAAACACAAGTGTCTCAACAGATCCAAAGGGCAAAAAATGACAATCAACGTCTTTTCACCTTAAAAATTCTTAGCAAGCTAGGAGGAAATGTCCTTACCCTGATAAGCACTTACCAAAAAAAAAACATCTGTTTACATTATTTTTGGTGGGTCAATCCTAGCCATATTTCCCTTAAAATCAGGAACCAGATAAGTAAGTATGTTATTGTTGCTTCTGTTTAACATTGCATCAGAGGTCTTGGGCAGTGCAGTAAGGAGAGAAGAAAAAGAAATTAAAGGCCTGAGGATGGGAAAAACAGCCAAACCATCAGTATTTGCATATGATATGACCGTAGACAGAAAATCCAAAGAATAAGCCAACACCTGATTCAAAATAATAAGGCTTTAACAAGGCAGCTGGCTAGGGCCTCCCCGGTGGCGCAGCGGTTGAGCGCTGGGTTGCAAAGCTGCCCACAGCCTCTGCAGTGCCGGTTCGATCCCCGGCTGCTCCCTGGCCACTGGAGAAGGGTCCCACATGGCACACAGACGTCTCCTGCCGCCCACTGCTCCCCTCAGCAGTGTACTTCGGTCCTTCTGCCTGCTCTGCTCCCCGCTCTGGCTCTAGGGAATTCTCTCACCCTCCCGCGCTTCTGACTGTATCCAGTGCTTGTATAAATAATAAATAAATAAATCTTTAAAAAAAAAAAAAACAAGGCAGCTGGCTATAAGGTTAATACCCTCAAATAAGTTGCCTTTGTGTCTATCAATAAATATAAAATATAATTTTAAAAGATTCCATTCATAACAGCAAAAAAGTATAATGATAAAGCTGGCAAAACATGCAGCAGTGCTTAAGACCTATCGCAAGAAAATGATAAAACTCTATTGAAAGACTTTACATACAATTTTTTAAAAAAAGATTTATTTTAGTTATTTATGTATATAAGATCTGGGGTATAGGCCAGAGGCGTGGGGGGTGAGAGGATTCACCAGAGACAGAGTGGGGAGCAGAACAGGTAGATCAATTGAAATCTACTGCTGAGGGGAGCAGCGGGTGGGACAGGAGAGGTCTGCTGCGCCATGTGGGTGAGCTCCCTGACCAAGATCGAACTCATGTTGCAGTGGCTGGCAGTAGCTTGATAGCACTGAGACTTTAACCCCTGCGCCACCAGGGAGGCCCTAAGTACAATTTAAATAAGTGGAGAGATAACCCAGGGCCATGGCAGGAAGATCCAACAACTTAAAGACGCAATTCTCCCCATGTAGATGGATAGATCAGTGCAAGTGCCACTCACCCCAACAAGTTTTCCTGAAAGCGGATTCCAAAACTTACATGCCAGAATAAAAAACCCAAGACCCCCCAAAGAAGAATAAGGTGAGGAGATTATTCTTTTAACTATTAAGGCTAATTATGAGGTATTAATGTAGACTTAGACAAATGAGCCAATGGAACAGATAAAGAGCCCGGAAATTGACCTTGTTTGAAACTTGATACATTCCACAGGAGGGATTATATCAGTGAGTGAAAGAAGGGTCCAATAAACTAATGATGCTGGCCAGATAGTTAATACACGGAGAAAGAAAGAAGAAAATGTATCCTTACTTCACACCAACTGTAGAAACCTACTCCATCCAGATTAAGGACGCTTTAAAGACTTTTATAAGAAAATACAGAGGAGTATTTTTATGTCCTTGGGGCAAGAGAGGATTTCTTTTTCTCTGCTTCATTTTTTGTTTGTTCTCTGGGAAAGGATTTCTTAAACAAGACCTCAGAATCACCTTTCTTAAAATAAACAACTGATAATTTTGATAAATTAATGACACATATAAACATTTCAAAGAAATGGAAACATATCTAAACAAATAAAAAGATGCTTTAACTCAGTCGTGGCCAGGGAAGTTAAATTCAAATCAACTACAGGACACCATTTTATGTATATTGGGTGGGAAAAGTTAAGAAATCTCACACAGTCAATCTCTGAAGTCACAGTGCAACAGGAAGTCTTATAATTGTGGGCCTGAGTATCCTGGATCTCCAGGAAATATTCAGGCATTATTTTGTAAAGCTGAATATCCTTATACCCTACAGCACACAATCTCATTCTTAGATCTCTTTTCTAGAGAATCTTTTGCACTGAGAGCCAAGAAACATGTCTGCCTCTTGCCCTTACTATCCGTGTGATCTTGAACAAGATCTCTGTGCCTCAGTTTCCTCTTTCATAAAATGGGGTTAATAATAGTATCTTCTTTGGGCCTCCCTGGTGGCGCAAGGGGTTAAACACCACACTATGAAGCAATCCACGGCCTCTGTAGCGCGAGTTTGATCCTCTGCCCACCAGGGAGCAACACACATGGCAAGGCAGACCACTCCTGTCTCGCCCACTGCTCCCCTCAGCTGTGTCCTTCAGTCAATAATAGTTTATCTTCTTTATAGGGTTGTTAAGTGAATTAAACAATGACTTGATTACTTAACTCCATACACAAAACTTAACAGAATGGATTAAAGCCATAAAATACTTGAGATAACAGT